ACCAGATTGGAAAATCTGGGAATGTTAAAAAGTCAATTTTCCATGAGATGAAAATCATCTATGCTCTTGGTCTTTACCTTTCTCTTCTCTCTGCCTCCTAAAGCTTCAAACATGATTACAATTTCAAAGAAAGACTTATTTCTGGGAAGCTGGAAACATACACATAAATACTCTGCTGAGAGCTTGAAGCTGAGAATTGCAAGATTCAGCAAAGTTGGCATTGCCTCTAGGTAGTTGGACCTGACCCAAGAACAAGGTGCTATTAGGCAGCATCTTATAAAGAATGGATCACCAGGCAGCAGCAAGCTGTCCTCGTGTTATTTTCCTGAATTCACATTCAGCTTGGCAAGACTTTCACAGAGCTCTCCCAGATAGTGAACCTAATTCAGGTTTCCTCGAGTTTTCTCTTTCACTGGAATAGAAATTCATGTGACATGGCAGCATCAATATAATCCCCATTTTGACCTAACCCACCTTCCCAAACCTTTCTAGCTTTCTATTTAGAGAATATTCTGACTTTATTTAAATGTTTTGCACACACTGCCTCTCTCTGCTTCCATAATGCATTTTCTGTATGTCTCTGCTGCCAAAACCCTGTCCCACCTTAAATGCTCAGTTCAAATGCTGCCTTCCCTCTTCACCTCTCATCTCCTTAGCTGAAAGTACTCTCTTTTTTACCCACTGCAACTTGTACTTCTTTCCTAGTACCAACTACAAACTGCATTGTGTAAGTAACTTCCTTTCCCAGTGTATTTTAAATCTACGGAGACAGAACCTGCATTTTGTTAATATCTGTATGCTCTATTATATTCAAAAACACAATACGTGCTCCATAAATTAGTATTGAATTGAAGTGAAATGTCATATTCTTGGGAAGGAAAATTACCAGAGAAGTCACTTTTGACCCATTCATTTATTTCCTTTTCTTCTTTGGATTATGAACACAGATTAAATTTTAGTAGTTATCCAAAATGAGAGAAATGATGAAATATGTATAATAGTTGAATTTTAGAGGTATTTGAGGGGAAAAGACAGACTGAGAAATCATAAGCATATCTCAGAAGGAACGGTCTTTTCTTATCTTCAGTAAAAGCCAAACATTTCACATGATGAATTTTCAAAATAAGAATTTCTTAACATGTAGGCACTAGTAATAGTAGAGTAAGATGATTCACTTTCTATCACTTTTTCAAATTTTCAATGAAGTAGCGAGGCACTCTTGCATAAAGATTTTTAACTAAAAACCCTGTATATTAATTTATTTACCATTTTTATACCTGTTATATATTATTAAGCATTTTGTCAATTTTAAGACTCTACGTGGCTACATCTAAAATATAGTTGTTTCCTAAAGGTTAATAAAAGCAATTTGAACATTTTCTACTTGCTATAACTATTAGATTGCACATCACTACCTCCATAATTGATCCATGAATCAGAAGACATATAGAAATATGTTTATATGAACATACATAATGGAAAAATAAATAGATGATAAAGACTATATAATACTTGATATTGATAGAAAATTATGAAAATAAGAGACTGGTCATATGCAAGACAGTAGATAATGCAATAAAAATTAATTCTATAAAGATATCTATATAAATAAACCTGATTTTTAATAGAAAGAATAGAATAAAAATTCAAAAATATTACATCAAAGCAAATTATCATAGTGAAAATATATTTCAACTGCAAAAATAAGGAGGAATAATAGCAAAATATGATGACAAATAGATAGTGTTGAGATATTCAGCTGATCAATAAAGTGAAGGAATGAATACCATATCCCATCTATCTGAATTTAAATATTCAAAATGTAAAACTGTTAGTAATAAAATTACACCAAAATTTATTTCTGGACCTCTTGAGAATAAGGTTGGTTTTCTGTAAATTGCAAAGAGAGATATTAAAAATGAATGAGTAAGCAAAACTCAGGAAGAATCAGAACACTTCACTTTTGATTAACCAGACTGAAAATGACTTGGATAGCTATAGTAATCTCTCTTTTTCATCAGATTACTGAAAACAGCAATGATATAATATTTTATCAAATGTAGATGAGGAAAGTCATAAATAAAAAGTGTGCTCATCCTTTATCCATATTGCTACTACTTAAATTCTCTTCTTTATTTTGTGATACTGACTTTTGAGATAACTGGACTCTCATGTCTCCATATGTCCATACAGATCCATATGTATAAATGCAATATTTAAATGTCCTTTCAATATTATTAATTTATGTGATTATTCCTAAGAAGTCAATTAGTAATCTTATTGATTCAGCATATGCATAACCTTATGATGTAAAGGAATTAAATAAAATCTATGAATATCTTCCATGAGAATATATTAAGTTCATGAAAAAGCAAATCTTCCATAAAGTTTCAGGATATTTTGGAGACCATACCATCAATGCTGTGAAACAATTTTATAAATGACAGTAAAGAATTGAAGGCAATCTTAAGAGAGGCTCAGTTCTTGTAATGTCTTTTGTTTTTCTTGTAGAGTATAATCCCTATTCTCTATTTTTAAATTATTTAACGTTGTTATGAACTATTAACATAGAGACTATCTAGGTTATACGATGTGACTGTCAACTAAAAGTGAAAGGCATATTACTGGCATAATTTAATGTTTTATGGTATGATAAATTTAAAATACTAGAAAGGCTAGATGTTAAATAGGGCAAGATTTTGGAATCCACAAAATCAGTTGCAAATAGAGGAACTGCTCAGTAAGTTCAAGTGTGGTCTTAAGACTTCCAAGCTCAATGCCTTTGGTTAAGTTTATTTACCTCCTTGAGCTTCAGAATTTCTAATTTTGTAATGCCTTCTAAATTTGTGAAAATTCTCTGGGAATTGGAAAATTCTCCACAAATAGAATTTATCAGTATTAACTGGGCTTGTGTAACTATTATTTGACTTGCCTGATGTTACAAACCCTTAGGGAAATAAGCACAATTTTCATATAAATAGTGCTGACCAATATTTTATACAAAATATCACGATAAACTGTGTAAGTTGAACAATAACAAAGAAAGCTTCCAATATTGTTTCTGTTTTACAATCTTTGAAAAATGTTATGAACTAATTTGATTGAATATTGTACCTTCAGGAAAATAGATTTTGAAATATAAATAATAATCAAAATTTAGTTCATTAGAATGCTACAGATTATTTATAAATTGTTATTCTCAAAGTGAAATGTTTCATTTGTAAGATAAAGAATGGAACACATCAAATGGGTGAAGTCAGTCTGTGAGATACAAAATTTGTAAGAAAAAAAAAGAAAACAAAAACCAAAAAACTCACAAAAATATTTCCTCTCTAATCAATATTTGTATGTAAGATACTCATTAACATTTAGAGTAGCTTCAAAAACTAAGCTATTGTTTGGCAACTTTCTCTGAATTATTTAAAAAGGGAGAACAGGGAAAGAAGTTGCACCCTTTTATAAATCCTAACGGACAGTGGATTATCCAGCATTATTCATTTCTAATATGAACAGAAAATGATATATTTCCTTGGTGAACCATGTGCAACCATCTACAAAAGCATTTAATAAAGAGTTTGAAGATGGTCCATTAACTTGATGATCTATTTCTCTGTGCTGTATTGATGCTATAGTGATGTTTAAGAATTTGTTCTCTTCATATCCTACAAATGATTGCTCTCTGATTGTCAAATAATTGTATCTTTGGGGCATATCTACTTAAAAAATACCCTAATCTGAGGGGCTTTAACAGCTCATTGACATGAAGGAAGCTTGTGATACACGTTGCACACATGACTTCCTCCTCATTGCAACCTGGCCAGGTCGAGTTGTTCATCTGAAAGACTTCCAAATCCTTCAGCCCTGGTCAACTGGTTCAGGTGAGTCAATTAACACACTTGAAAGCAATAAATAACGTGATAACAATATGGTTTTGCTCTACTTAACACAGAAATATTTTTATTATAAAAGGTAATATAAGGTCGATTTCTATGAGGCAATATAATTCAAGGCAATATAACATCAATTTCTATGTTAGCATATACAACCTAGGTACAAGCTATAAGTACTCTGAGGGTAAAATGTAATTATTTTAGTTTTTTGTACCTTAGGACCCATTGTATGGAACCTGACATCTAAGTGGTGCTCATTGAAAAAGAAACAGACATGTTAATCAACAAATGAGGAAAACAATGGATAGGACATTTAGTCTATTCTAGTAAGTCTAAACCACAAAGATTTTAAATATGGAAAAGCAAAGCACATTTCTTGATGTAATTTATACTGTCAGAAGAAAAGTAAAATTAAAAGAAAAAAATCAACAGGGGCAGAACATTATGTTGGTTTGTAATCACTGGGTGTGAACTGGCAGAGATGTGGGATGTATGGTCTAGCTGAGGGAAAATGCAAACAAGCAAATCTAGTTCATAAAGAGTAGAACTTACCTCTGCTTCTCCCACCAGACTACTGTGACTCAGGCACCATTTGGATTTTACTGTTTACTCCTGGGGCATAATTGCCCAAGGAAAACACAGAGTAGGAATTCAGTAAACATTTGTTTAATAAGTAGAAAGAGAGGCTTATTATTTTAAGATGCCACAATAAACATGTACTAACTTTAAAACACCATTTATAAATAGGTGGTTTTATCAGTCATGTAAGCTTATGAGAGGTCTTATAAAAATGATTTTTCTGAAGTCCTTTAGGATCTTATACCAAAGTATCTTCAAACCAATCATAAATACGAAAAGCCACTAGTATCATTAGGCTATGACTGCATGGTAAATATTTGACTATCCAAATTATCAGGCTATCTGAAAGCCTGGTAACAAATTCCCACTGAGTAACATTATTGTTAAATAAGTTTTCCAAAAGCTTATTTTACTGGCAAATAAAGGAATAGCACAAACATTTGTGATGTCACAATTGCTTTCCAAAATAATTATGATCAGGGTCCCTGCGGTACACAGTGTATTAGAGAATTCAAGGGAAGGCAACACCACTATTAGTAATAGCTTTTTATTCAGAGTCCTCATTTTCCAGATAGGTCACATTAAACACAGCCATTAAACAATAGCGTTGAGATAAATCCATACAACGTATCTGCTTTGTTGTTGTCCTTGTTCACCAATCACTTGGTGCAGCTAAGAACCTTATGGAGTGATGGGGCTGACAAATGGGAATAGCCAACCTACGAAACACTGGAGCCAGGAAAGTCAGACTTTATTCAGGTCTCATTCAATCACATTTCGAATCAACACATCTTGATAGCCAGAACTCTCATTTGAATTAATGCTCCGATAATGTTGTCTGTTGTCAAAAGAATATAATTAGACAATAATGAGTGGGCATATATTATGCCAAACCTCAGTCTACTTGTTGACCTCAGCAACTTCTACTCCATTAGGCAACAAACAGCTTTTAACCTGGTTCTAATAAAGCATATTGCTCCATCACTACATTGCTTTTTTTTTTCTTTTTTATGGTGTCATTTTTTAAATTGAGCAGTACCTAGATCCTTTAAAGGGAAGTCATGTTTTACAAGATCTCAGCTAATGTAGAAAAACAAAACAAGTCAATTTCCCAACCAGGAATTCAATTAATTTATGGAGTAGTGAGCCAATATTTGCATATTGCCTGCAGTAAGGATTAAGTATGCCAGGTTAAGAAATAACATGAAAGCATTCTTTGAAACTGCATGATGCATCTCTTTTATGTTTACTTTGGTATAGGTACAACTAACACTGATTCTCACTACTTTTAATTTTGATGAAAAGATCTTTTATCATTAACACATTAACATTGAATGGAAACACTGCTTTGTTACTGGTACATTTTTTAGTTCATCAGTAAACAATTTTTAGAACTGTGACTTTCTTATGAAAAATTATATAGATTCTTTTTCTGTGCTTGATACAGTTATTTAAGGACCTAAAAGACAAAGTATTTTTGTATTTATTTTGATTGTGTGTGATTTTTTTGAGGGGCTAGTAGTTGGAGCATGTGAATTAAGATAATTTTTCACATTCTGAATTGTGACAAAAACCCCTTGAAATATCACTGCATCACCCCTTAGAGCAAGTTGCTCCCCAAAGGGGTAATTTTGGCATCTCAGAGACTTCCATGGAAGCCAAGCACCAGAGGTCTGTGATAAAGGCAGTTGCCAGCCAAATGAATAAAAGCAAGATTCCCTTCAACTCAACTATAAAAGCTTAGCGTCCTGACTGCTGAATTACCACCAACTGGTAAATAAATAATCACTACTAAATACAGATAATGTGTTAAACAGCTAACGCTAGTAAATCACTGGTGACAGAGAGCCTAAAGGTAATCCCTCACACATTGGCACAACCAATTCTTAAAATCTGATAGTGTTTTAATGTCTTCAGACACCTTTAATAAATTGAACAACTGGTTACTCAGCATTAAGAACATTTTAAAAATGAACCCTACTCTCTTTGTTGATTTCATTTACATACTGCCTTAGATTTTACTACTTGGCTATTATCTAGTAAGAGAGAGGCAACACTTGGTAAGACTAAATGGAAATCAGTTTTCCATCAAATCGCAGCTATCAAGCTAAATCAACCTGTAGTCTCCTGGCAAAAAATAACATCATATAAGAGAGACGACACATTTCAGATACATAAATTGTCCAAAATATAGAGAGTCAATTAAGTTTCACATGTACAAGATCCTTTCTTTTCTAATTTAAACATTTATGAATAATAAAAACCAAGAGTAGAGCTTTGGAAAGGCTGTTACTAGGAACCAAATAGAGTTCTCAAGAGGATAAGGCTGATGGGAGTCGTCCACTCTTCCCTTTCAAAGCAGTTCTGCAAACGAGGTACAGTCTCAAATCTTGACAGCATTGGACGGAAATATTTTCAGTTGGATTTTTTGAGGTTTAAAATTACAAAACTGAATTCACCTCTGTGTTTGTTTTTGCTTTTGTTTTTGATATAAGGATTTTATGACATTTACGCTGTTACTACACTGGCTTGGTGGCCAGGAAAGAAGGCACAGAATTCTCCACCAGTTTGCAAATAATGCATTTTTCTGCTCCAGTGCACAAACAGCCTTTATTTAACTCAGCACCACATATTCTAAGGTATGGGCTGGAAACTGTTTGTCATGAAGCTGTAAAATGCCAAAATTTTTAAACGCTGAAGGAAAATGTCAATCAAGGCATTTTCCCATCTGCTGCTACTTCTGCAAGTGCTAATTTTACTTTTTCCCAATTCCTGAAATTTGAGGTTTCCTAGCCTCACATGGAAGTAAGTTTGAAACTTGCTAAATGTCACAAGGAAAGGTGCAACAAAATGAAGGGATAGAAGGTGTATTGTTCTCAAAGGACACCAATCAAAAGAGGCAGAAGAGCACTGAAAAAAAAAGGCAAAACTTCTGTTAAGACCAAGACCTCTTGTAAAACACTGCACAATGCAAGTAACCAGCGCTGGTACCACACATGCATTAAAGCATTTTGCATGGTTTTGAAATATAATGGGAACACACATTGAACCACTTAGGATACTTTTGAGAACTAATCAACAGTATGATATCTACATAGGCAGAAGCTGCAAGGTATCGAAAAACATGAAGAAGTTTCAGGTATTGGTACAAATGTAATTCTTGTGATTTAGCGTGACTTTAATAAAAGCTTCCACAAAGGACTTGCACATAACAGTGACTGACAGATGTATTTTTTGACCTTTCAGTTAGCTCCATCAGCTCACTCAAACACATTTTGAACAGATTATGTACTGTAGTACTTGGTAGACTATACATTAAACAAGAGACTTTGCTCTGAGGCACTGCTTCCAACACTCCATGGGGAAAAGGAAGCAGGAAAAAACAAAACTCATAGAGTTCGACAGCTACCGAGGCAACACTTGCCATTTACAATATAAGCCCAAATATTTTTGCAACACAACTATATATTAATTTAATAAAATACACAATATAGCTCTTATACACTCAACAATTTGGCTCATATGCACTGAATCTGCAATAAATCAATAAAAATATGTCATTTGATGTAAACACATTTAATCTTCTTACATTTGCACATGTAAATGGTCATGTGATTTGTGTATGTCTAAAACATTTTCACGTTCCTGAGCTATTTTAGTGTCCACAAATGAATAAAACATATCAATCATGTTAATTGTCTCTGAATATCAGCACTCAACGGTAACTACTTTTCAGAACTTTTCCAGGGCAAATTTAAAACATATCCATTGTTACATATATGTTTGTTGGACACTAAAATGCTAAAGAGGGATTTTAAACCTTTAAATTTTCTTCTCCTTTCATGAAGTGAGTTAGTCTATGTGTGTGCAGGACAAAATGGAATATATCTTTTTACATTTAACTTTCATACGACATGAGGTGTTTTACAAATGACCCAGTTTTTAATTTTTTTCGACTAATGATATGGAATGTTCTCTGTGTTTATATGTGTGGCAGGTAACTTTATACAGAAATGTTTACCACAAATATGTGTTAATGTTTGGTGTAGCTTGGACTACTGCAAGGTCTTTTCGGGGCGTTCAGTAGAAGCCTGTGGTGACTGCTAGAAATTCTACCACAGATCAAAAATTATGACCCTGCTTTGTATGGGGTTTATAGGTAAACAGTTAAGTCAGCATAAATCATGGAGGACAGTCTTAGAGCGATCAGAAAAAATCTTCCATTCTCACACTGTATACCTTCCTAACAGATTGTCAAAAGGTAACTTGCTTCATCATCCTCTTTTATCTCCTCTCCTTTTTCTTCTCTGTTTGTCTTTCCGCTTTGAGCTTCGTTAATTCTGTCCTAATATAATTCTGGTCAGAACAAAACCATCGTTATCTCTGAAAAAGAAACAGCAGTGAAAAGAACATACTCGTGGGCACTTCAGATGTTCACTAAGAGCCTGAAAGCAGCATTGGTCTTTCTTCATCCCTGTAAAATGGGGTTGTCACCAGGAGGGATCAGTTTTCAATCAAAAGAAGAAACAGGAAGATGCCAATGCCTTTTATTCTTCTTCACTTCCTCACAGCCACAGGGTCATTTCCCCGGCAGTCCTGCAGAAGCTTGTCGATTTCCCTCACGACCTCCTCTGCATCCACCGACTCTCTGCCCAGATCCTGGCCGGGGTGGTCAAGTTGCTCCAGGACGGTGCCCATCTCGCTGGAATCCCGGCTGGCTCTCGAATGCACATCTGCGAAGACCCTTGCCATCTGCTCAGAGGCCAGGAAGGGAGGGTCTCTTGGTTGCTTGCTGGGGGACAGATACTGACTGTCAGTGGGCAAGTACTGGCCGCTCGCCTCGGCCAGGGCTCCTGGCTTTGCTTCGCAACCATCCAGGGAGCCTTTTGTGGAAGTGCAAGGCTCGATGCACGCCTTGGTCGGGCTGCTTGATGCTGAAGGGACCTCTTGGAGGAGAGGGCTCAGGGCACGTTTGGCTTTTAAATAAGGTTTCACATTGGCAATGAGAATCGTGTGCTCTCGCTTGTCTTTTCCAAATGTACAAAAAGTCTTTTTCCCAGTGGGATTCACAGTTTCATAAGTCTCGGTCTCAACATTCGCTTCAACTGTGGGTACAAAGAGATTTGTGCGGTAATCTGCATTTTCAGCCTGATTGGTTGCAGGGAACTGTGGCATCCAGCACCTGTCAGAATGACCAAGCACTCGGCATTCATCTGTGCAATTAACACACTCTTCCGGTTCTGCAAAACAAAAGAAAGACAGCAAAGCCAATCACTAGGGTTGCCTTTACATTTCTACCGAGACTGTGATCCGCTCTCCCTGGGTTTGCTTGACCTCTGGTCTCTTAATTAAAAAGGAAAAGAAAACAATAATTAAAACATTTCAGGATGGTTGCATAAACCTGCTGGTTGAGACAATGGTTTTATTTAAGTCTATTCTCTAGATATGAACGAATTCCCATAGCCTGGAAAGAAGTAAAAAGTGGCCATTGGAGAATCATTCTCAGTAGAATAGAGCATCACTGTAAACTAATCTCCTGGGGATATCAGTTAGTCTTTGTTCTGTATAATCCATCCTGGAAACAGGGAACTTCAAAAAGGATTACCAGGATTAATTTTTCAAATCAAATAACAGTATAAAAACTGAATTGCAAACTTCCATACCAAGTCCTAAACTGTTTTTTTTTTTCATGTTTTATCCCTATTTTGCTTGTAATTGTTATTTTGGTAACAGTCATGAAATAAAACTATTCCTTTAAAAGCATACTTTTCCTACTGAGAATAGCAAATAGAATTTTCTATCAAAATGTGTTATAAACAAACTTGTCAAAAATGTACATAGTCCTATTGTAGTAGATTTGCAGATGGATCACGTAATCAGGTTTCTTCATTTCAATTTTGTTTGTTTGTTTTGTTTTTGGTGTAAGTAAGTGAAAATGGATTTTAGTCAACAGATATAGTTCAGAATGAATGACAAATCTTGATTTCCTAAACAGTAATACTTTCTGGGAGAATTTCACTTCTCTTTCACGATAACATGTAGATAATCTAAATAAACCATTCTTTTAATTACCACTGTTTCAAACATGCTGAACAAGAAAATATGAAAGAAAATTCCTTCACTATGACAACAGTCCATGAACTCAATATTTTAAATTATAACTTTGAACTATATCTTCCCAGTTTTCCCTTTCACCAACAAATGGTTGTCCTCCTTATGTTTAATGATCCTTTTTAAAACAGGGACTTTTTTTCAGGAGAGGATATTTACAATTTAACTCCATGCGATGGGAATAGAATTCCCTACACATTTGGGAACTCTTGGGATTACCATTTAATTGATGCAAGAGGATCTCTATAATGTATAGTGTCCTATGTGCAAGGGAAAAATCAGCAAATTTAATAGCACTGATAAATTTATACAGCTACATTTAAAAGTCATATACAAAATCTGTTTATATTTAAAACACATAAATAATTCCTTATCCAAAAAGAAAAAAAAACACAACTTAATTCACCTCAAAAAGTTTAGGATAAAATAATTTTCTATGAAACTAAACTCTTAGAAAGGAATCAAAATAGTGTTTTGACAGAACAAAAATTCTATGATATTTCATAGCATGTATCATTCACACATGAAATGTTAAAAGGAAGTATCTAGGTGTCTTTTCCCTATTTTAATTGTCTTTCTTCTTAAAATACATTTACCTAGCAGTGAATAGAATATGTTAAGCTTATTATGTAATGCAGTCAAGAATGCTGAAATGTAGTCTCAAACTAAACTATCTACTATCTACTCACAAACTCAAATACTGTCTATGATGTGAAAGGTTGTCAGACAGATGGACACAAACAGAAGCAGAGAAGCTAGGCAATTTTCTGAAAACCTCCCTGTGCAGATTTAAAGTAGAGTAGGATTTAAACAACAGGATATTGAAAAAGTTTAATATCAGGTATCTGTTTAACATTATGTATTCTGAAAGTAAATCATTAATAGTATACCTGTGTCAGTAAGTTTTAGAAAAAACATATGTATCATTTCACTCAACTAATTTTATTCTTCAAAGATCCAGTAAAAAACTTTACCATCCATTTCACTTGGTAATATTTCTATATCTTTTAGAGTTGTGATTTTTAAAAACTTCATTTACAGCCCATACACTCTCTTTGAAATACATTAATGTTTTATTGTTCAATATTGAATGGCCTCAATTTCAGTAACTTGGAGAGCCCAGCTCTGAATGAATTCAATATGTATTTAAGAAGAGAGTGAACGAGATAGAGTAATGCAGATGTATGAAAGTATAAATCGACCTTGAATTTGAAACCAACATAAACCCTGCAGTTTTACTATTCAACTTCATGACACAACTAAGGGAGAAAATTTCGAGTACTGATTTTGACACATTACCTGCTGTTCACCTTGGGATTAGACTGTAATTTTGATAGCAGCCACTACACTAAGGAAACCACAACTCTGTGGTTTCCCCAGTTTAGTGGTTATCATGTTCCCCCAACATGCACAAGGTCCCTGGTTGGAAACTGGGTGGAAACAGCTTCACTTTTAGGCTTTCCTGTGGCTCAGCTGGTAAAGAATCTGTGTTCTGTGTGGGAGACCTGGGTTCAATCCCTGGGTTGGGAAGATCCCTTGGAGAAGGGAACTGCTACCCACTCCAGTGTTCTGGCCCAGAGAATTCCATGGACTGTATAGTCCATGGGGTCGCAAAGAGTCGGACACAACTGAGCAATAGACTTGATAGCAGCAGTTCACAGACAGTGAAGAAAATTAAATGGACACGTTTGCATAAACAGCAGAAACTATGAGCATAAAGTGAACTATAATTGCCAAGGGTCAAATAATTTATGAGAAAGTCAAATTATTTCTGAAGTAACATAAATAAATAGATGATTAGGTTGGTACATAAAAGAGACATTGGTAGTAAATAAAGAATGACCAGCTAGACCAACAAGAGAAAAAAAAAAACTGATCAGCAAGACAAAAAGAAATAGAGAGGGTAGAAGGAATTCTAAGTGAAAAGAGAGAGGGATGGAGGGAGGAACTAGAGGCTTAAGGGAAGAGGAGTCATATTGGGAGGATTTTTGCTATGCATACCTTCTATTATAATTTTTAAAATCTCTTCAATAAACTAAGTGTGTATAATAAAGGATAATAACATGGAGGATTTTCTCCAGCTCTAGAGCTATAAAGGTAGATAATCAAACTTCTTTCTGTACCTTGGGGAAATGAATTCCAGAATAGACATGTTGAATTATGAACTATAAAAATGAAAAAAGAATCAAGTTAGATAGACAGCCACTATTTACAGAGTTTAGATATTTGCATCAAAAAATTAAAAAAAAAAAAATGTAAGGATCCTGGACAGTAAACAAACTTAGAAAACTTTGACCCAAGATGCACTTTTTCTTCTGGGCCAACCTGGGATCACACGGAAATTATTTACCCTAATTTTTGTCCTTTTCTCAATATAACATGATAACTCTTTCACAAAATCATCATTTGCCAAGACAGATCAGATAATACAAAAAGTATACAGATGAGAGTAACCGAGATATTGCAAAGTGAAAACAACTCTGAATTCCAACAGCTGGAAATATGGGCAGTTCTGTCTATAGAGAAAGTTTACAGTGTCTAATCTTTTAAATGTATAATTATCTGAAGGACCATGTGACATCTGAATACATTTAAATTCTTGTTTACTATTAAGAATCACTTTCTATACTACTATGGACTTCCCTGGTGGCTCAGATGGTAAAGAATCTACCTGTAGTGCAGGACACCTGAGTTCAATCCCTGGATTAGGAAGATCCTCTGGAGAAGGGAAAGGCTACCCACTTTAGCATTCTTGCCTGGAGAATTCCATGCACAGAGGAGTCTAGCGGGTCACAAAGAGTTGGAAATGACTGAGCAAGTAGCACTCTCTTTATCACTATAGTCATACCTGGCTATTATATAAGATCTCAAGGGGAGGGATCTAAACATAGTTATCTTAATTAGGTCAATTTTAATTTATATGATTTTTTTTTTTTGCAAAAGATATAGTCACTCAAATTATGAGAAATACTTGCAATTCAGCTGCCACCATAAACTACACACACACACACATACACATGTACAATCTCTATTTGAATGTGTGTAATAAAATTGAGCTTACTCCAGCAGATAGTCCAAACAAAATTTTAAAACTCAAATGCATTTCCAATGTCTTCCTGAAAATTAAAAATCAGAAACTACCATAAGAGAAATACAGGTGAATGAATAAAATGCACAGAAAAGTTATATATTAGTAATATAAAATTTACATATTAGTAATATAAAAGATATATATCTATAGGCATATATATGAACATTTTCATAATTTACAAAATTTTATATATAATTTACGTTCATAAATCTTTTTATTTAAAATCACCAATAAACAACATTTTAATCTTTCTCTTTACCCTTCAACTGACTATGAAATCTCTGACTGAATAAACAACTTGACTACTGATTTTAAAATTTTATATAATTCAAATTGATTTAGAAATAAAGATGGTTGAAATCTGCATATTCATTTTGGCTGACAAATCTGAAAGCTCTTTCAATCTTTTTTTAAACCTAGACTAAGCTGTTTAACAACTTAATCTTAAAGATATTAGGCAAGCAATCATTTTCTGCCAAAATATACCTTCAAAGGAACAGTCACTGTGAAAGTTACATATGTGTGAGGAAAAAAGATTTAGGTAACACATGAAATTATCTGTTCCCAAAGTATTGGATTTTAACAATCTTCCACAAAGGTTACCAGAACTTAATGTTAATAATGTGATTTTAACACTGTGATGTCACTACATCATTAAGAGTGCACAGCCGTTTCAAGATGGGTAAGAGGTGCCAACAGTCGCTATGTATGAGACTAAAATTTGAAGTCAAAACACTATTTAAGCCAGCAAGGATTATTAAAGATTAAGGGGCATCTGTTGAATATAGTTATTTTGGGAAAAGTCAGAGGAAAAAAATCCTTGTGTGTTGTGACTCTAGTGTTCACCCTAAAGGAAACATGTTGAGGAACCAGTCCGTAAAATTCCTTACTTCAGAATAAACCTATCTCTTTATTTGAATCTGTATCACTCTCAAGAAGTAAATTATAAGATAAGCTTATTTTCCCTCTCTTCAAAGCATTATACCACACCGCCCAAAGAGAGATATTAGCAACTAATTTGTTAACACTTAGGGAAAT